GTGAGATGAAAGTGTGTGTAGGAAGGAGGATTTGGGGGTGGGGTGTTGTTAATATGCAAATATATTTCTGAAAAACATAATAATATGTAATAATGCGTAAAACATTAAATAGAGAAATGGTCCAGATAGTCGATCATTTGGGCGCTCAGTCGCTTTATTTGTCGTATCAGGTCTTCTACCTGGTCGAAGAGACAGAAGGGGGGTGGGGGTAGTTTTACTAGACAAACTCGCTATCCTAGTGGTTAGACTACCGGACTCGTAATTATGAGATTGCGAGTTCGGGGGTTCGAGCCTCAGCTCGGCCCGACGTTGTGTCCTTGGGGAAGGCACTTTACACGAACTTCCCACTTGGCTCGGTCCTATCGGAGACGGACGTTAAATTAAGAGGTCCCGCCTCTTAAATAGCCTAATAGTGTTGAAAGGGGCGTTAAACTCATACCATTTCACCATTTTCACTAACTCGCTGAAGGAAAAGAAATAAAAAGGGATAGTACTTGATGAAGCCAACGGGGGATATTCACTGATAAAAATAATCAGGAAAAGACACACATGCAGTTTTTGGGACCCCTGAATAGACATAAGGTGGCAAAATTGCAGGCAAACAAGGCAGGGGTAGGCCCAGAGCAACCTACTTAGGGAACCTAAACAGATTGGTAACAAGGAAAGATTAGGCTAACGTTGGCATCCGGGCAAATGACTGAATGGGGACCTTGATCGCCGATGTCTGCCGCAGATCTGGCACACGATGATGATAATGAAACAAACAAGAGAAGTGCTTCTGGCAGTCGATCATTTCGGCGCTTAGACATTCTAGTTGGCCTATCAGGTCTTCTACAGGGAAGGGACGGGTGTGTGGAGGAGAGGGGGGAGGAGGGAGGGAAGGAGAGGTTTCTTAGTTTCAGTAAACAATGTCTCCCGACGCGGTGGACTCAGGCGCTCGTCAATGTGTGGGCATAATGAGTTATCTCGAGTTATTGGTATTATTTTTAAGCTTGTACATTTTTCTTGCTTTCGGTGAAAACAAATACCCGTCCATCTTGAATAGAAGTCGAGATATTTGCGAACAAAGGGGCTAGGGGTAACCTAGTTTCAGTGGTAAAATTAACGAGAAAATGGCTGTCAAGTTTTGTGATTTCTACAGCTTGGGAGTCATTGGAAATAGAACACTTATAAAGGGTATAATACGGATGGCTCGAATTGGTCGGGACCGACCTCGGCAGTTCGAGGGATCCGTTTGCTAATAACCCCCCCCCCACCCCTTTGGGAATGGCTTAAAGACATCTTCAGACAGCAGCACTGCCCTGGTTGTGGAGTGTATCCTTTGATGCACCCACCTCTCTGCCGATGAGGGCGAAGTCCATGTCTTCTGGCATCAGCTTCTTGCTGTGTACACTGTGGTACTGGGAGAAGGAGTAGGGGGCGGCATCGGGGTGGTCTGCTCTGTCTACATCGTTCATGTTGTTGTTGTTGTTGTTGCTGTTGCTGTTGTTGTTGCCGATGGTTGTGTTTTTGTCCAGGATATGTGGCTCCATTTTCATGTGTATTGAGAATAAGGAGTCTTGGACCTGAAGAAAAATGTGAGGAAGCATGATGGAAATCAGGCGTTCGAGAAAACAAGGTGTGTGTGTGTGTGTGTGTGTGTATGTGTGTGTGTGTGTGTGTGTGTGTGTGTGTGTGTGTGTGTGTGTGTGTGT